CTTGAATTTCAATGTGTACTTTAACTCTGTGCCCCATATCTAGAGATTCTGATTTAGGAGGTTTAAGACAAGGCTCAGCAATCTGCTTTCAACACTTTTCTCCAAGTGAGTTTCAGATCTGCAGAGTACACTTGGAGAAACACTGTCCAGTTTGAAATCAGTTATTAATCAGTTCCGTTTGGGTATGGCCAGCCAGGTACAACCCACACAATTGTCTTCACATTCTGCTCATGTTTCTTGCCACTTTCAGAAAGTTATCATACGAAAGAAACCTGCTCAAATGACTAGCTGAATTCCAGTCACACTGGTGCTTTACCCTACTTCCCTGCTCTACCAATCCTGCTAGCCTATAAAAGGAAAAAATGATGCAGAAATAATTTGTTCTTAATGAATCTGTTCAGTGTGTTGACCAAGTGTTCCTCAGTGCCTACAATGTACTCTTTAGCTCCTGATCTAGAACCTTGCCAGGGTTTTAGGGTCAAGCTCACCAGTTGGTAGTTAACAAAACCACCTTTAGAAAATTGAAACTGCCTTCTCTGTCTCCAGTCATTTGGAAAATCTGCTATCCTTTAAAAGCTCTCAAAGATCATCAACAACTGCAAGTTCTTTCTGAATCCATCCTGGAATGTCATTCATTCAGTCCCGAATACCTGAACCCATTTAGAGAAGCTTCACCATGCAGAGCTTTCACTCTCTCTCACCAATCAATGATCAGTCTACCCATTTAGGTTGAGGATCATTTTCCTTGACAGAAAGGATAGAAGCAAAATAAGATTTTCTAAGTTCCACTCTCTCTGTATCATCCATCAACAATATCAGTTCCAAATACATCCCCTTTTTCATCTCTTGCTATAAGCATAACTTGAAGTATGCCCGTCTTCCTTAGCAATTCTTACAAGCCTCTACTCATTTGAGATTTTATTTTCCAGTTGCTATTACAGAGCTAAGCCTCCTTCTTACATTTGCATTACTCTGACTTTTGTGTATCTTTTTTTGGAAACTGATTTCAGTTTGGCAAAAAAATTACAATTAGAGCTGGATGATACATACACAGGGGCTCATTTGGCTAGTCTTACTACTTTTTAAATTTTTCAAAATAAAAAGTCAAATAAACATATATAAATATATAAATACAAATGTTTATGTAAACACAGAGAGAAAGAGATGCCCCGATTTCTTCTTCATTGGAATGTATTTTGATCCTTAAACTTTCTTTTATCAGTTGGGGTAATTTGGTTTTAAATAAAGTCTGAATTGCACTTTCTCTGAACCTCCCAACCCTTTTAATTTATCTTCCAGCCTAGATTCCTCTGCCATTTTTCTCTGACTGCTTTTTCTTTGCACTGTTTGACAGCAACCTATCAAAAATGAAGGATAAAGGCTCCACAACTGGGGTGCTTGCAGCTCTTGGTGCCTGGCCCAGCTTCAAACTGTTTACTGTTCATGAAATTCTCTGCAGGCTCACCTTGGAGGGTGATCACTCCACGCCAGGTGCATACAGTTTGGTCAAAGCGTACATGATTTTTGATGTTGAGTATGATGCTCTGAACATTGAAATGGCCATCAATGAAATGACCAAAGGGGTGGATGAGGTCACCATTGTCAACATTTTGACCAACCACAGCAATGAACAGAGACAGGATATTGCCTTCGCCTACCAGAGAAGGATCTAAAAAGAACTTGTATCAGCACTGACGTCAGCCTTGTCCAGCCACCTAAAGAATGTGATTTGGGGCCCAGTCACAGGGGACCTGCTCTGTATGATGCTTCTGAGCTGAAAGCCTCCATGAAGGGGCTGAGGACTGATGAAGACTCCCTCACTGAGATCATCTGCTCAAGGAGCAACCAAGAGCATCAGGAAATTAACAGAGTCTACAAGGAAATGTACAAGACTGATCTGGAGAAGGACATCATTTCTGACACATCTGGTGACTTCCGCAAGCTGATGGTTGCCCTGGCAAATGGCAGAAGAGCAGAGGATGGCTCTGTCTTTGATTATGAACTGATTGACTAAGATGCCTGGGATGTCTATGATGCTGGAGTGAAGAGGAAAGGAACTGATGTGCCCAAGTGGATCAGCATCATGACCAAGCAGAGTGTGTGTCACCTCCAGAAAGTATTTGAAAGGTACAAGAGCTATAGCCCTTATGACATACTGGAGAGCACCAAGGAGGTCAAAGGAGACCTAGGAAATGCTTTCCTGAACCGGGTCCAGAGCATTCAGAACAAGCCCCTGTATTTTGCTGACCAACTGTACGACTCCATGAAAGGCAAGGGGACTCGCAATAAAGTCCTGTTTAGAATCATGATCCATCGGGACGCCTGGGTGGCTCAGTCGCTAAGCATCTGCCTTCGGCTCAGGTCATGATCCCAGAGTTCTGGGATCGAGCCCCACGTCGGGCTCCCTGCTCCGCGGGAAGCCTGCTTCTCCCTCTCCCACTCCCCCTGCTTGTGTTCCCTCTCTCGCTGTGCCTCTCTCTGTCAAATAAATAAATAAAATCTTAAAAAAAAAAAAAGAATCATGATCTATCATGATCTCTTGCAGTGAAGAGGACATGTTGAAAATTAGGTCTGAATTCAAGAGAAAGTACAGCAAGTCCCTGTACTACTGCATCCAGCAAGACATGAGGGTGACTGCCAGAAAGCACTGCTGTACCTGTGTGGTGGGGATGACTGAGGCCCACGACAGCATGAGCATCCAGGAGTGGTGCTCCTTTGTTTCCAGCTAACAGTTCTAGAAAATAGCCCTGCAAGGATGAGATTAGCATCGCCCCTCCCCATCCTTATTTCAGTTGCCTAAGCATTGCCTGCCTCTCATGTCTAATCTCCTTTTAGCCAAAGAAACATACCAAAGAGTTGGAAGTGAAATCTATGATATGAAACACTTCGCCTCTTGTGTACTGTGTCATAAACAGATGAATAAACTGAATTTTTATTCTAAAAAAAAAGTATAGGATACATTTAATTATGCCTGTTTCTCTCTTCCTATCAGGAGTATAAATTTTTAAAAAGTTATCAGTTTATTATCAGACTAGATTACTTCTGCCATTATCCTTTAGGACAGCGGTTCTCAAAGTGTGCTCCTTTGTAGCAGTACCAACCTCACCATGAGCTTGTTAGAAACACAAATTCTCTCTCTCTCCATCAAATAAATAAAAAATCTTAAAAAAAAACAAAACAAAGTAATAAAACATAATAATGGAAAAAAATTGCAAAGTGAACCATAAACACAATTTGCTAAAGAAATCTGGGTTCTGAAAATTGTATACGGTGTGTAACACTGTGTACTTTTTGAATAATTATTATACTTAAGAAATGAATGAGTAAAAATATATTACTCAATACAAAGGAAAACAATGAGTCACTTAACACACTATACTGTGGCAATGTATTACTTCCCCAATAACTGGAATAGTCACATATTTCTGTTAAATAGTTTAGGGGTTAAAATCAGTTACAAGAAGTAGAGTTTATAATTCTATTTTTTTAAAAATAGCATTTTCTATTTCTAACATGGAATATAAACACTTCATAAGTATTCAATAAATATTAAATGGATATGTTAAAATCATCATTTAAGTGATAAAAATGGAAAATACAAATTTTAATGTCAAAATATAAACTCAGAGGAAGAGTTTGGTGGTAAGATATATAACCACACTTAGAAAATATGCTTCTTATTTCTTCCAAACACTGCAACTTTTTGAGCCACTTAGCTTTCAGAAGTCTGTTTCTTGCTACCAAAATCGGACCCTGAAAATGACCTATCAATGAGAAATGCTTTGATGATTGACTAGAAAATGACTTTATGTGTTTTTAAACCGTACATCATCATGATCCCTTTTCTTCTATCTGTTTCATCATCTTACCATGGACAGAGATATTACTTAAAACCATTCTACTCTTTTTCACTTCCCAGCTCTTTTCTATCATTCATCCAGCTTCAAAAGGTCTTTAAATCAATCTTCAGCCTTTTGGGGGCTAATAAACATTATTATTTGCTCCAACATATTTTGCTCACCCAAAGAAGGTGATGGTATGAGATATAATGTTCTAGTGATGCTTTCAGATCCTTAGGGAAAAGACACCTTACACACATAAATGGATATGTTTAGAACTCATTGTTGTAATTTGAAATTACAAAGGTCATTTTCCCTATAGGACAGTTTTATGTATTCATGTCCGTTTTGACACACAAGAATGTTACAGTAATGACTACTATTATTTTTTTCACTTAACAAAGGAAAAAAGTTCAAATAAACATGAGGCTATTTCTTTCCCTTTTCCTGTTGACTAAAAGGGGTGCCATCTTTTTGTATTTTACTCCAGAAAATAAGAATGTTCATCATAACTGAAATGACCCTATACCCGGACCATTATAACATGCATACATCTACCCCAAAACATCTCTGAAGTTCTGGTCAAATCTCTTTCTCTGACCACCATGCCTCATACAGATCTAAAGCTTAATGAATATATGCTATAGAATGAGGACCTTTAAAAAAAAAAAAAGACAGTCTTTTCAATGGCATAAGGAGCACTGTTTTCTTCACTAAGTCTTCAAAAAGTGACTTAAACTAGTCACTTTACATGTTGAAAATAAGAGAAATTCTCTGAAATCTCTACCTTTCAATTCCTTTAGAGGACTCCTGACCTTTGGGATTTTCATGCCCAAAGGCACTACGCTTTTATTACATAACTTCCCATAGAAGAAGGAACCATGTGATATTCTCAATCCTGCTGACACAGTAAGTATTAAAAACTAAAACAAACAAACAAAAAACCCAGTCCTATGATAAACTAAATAATTCCTTTTCTCACCCATTCATTCAACATTATTAAGCAGCTATAATAGTGCCATGCTTTCAGTCATCTATCATTCAATAAGTACACAAAAAAATGGAAAATACAATATGGTACAGAAAATTTTAAGTCTCCATTTTTTGAGATATTTCTAGCATGCATTTCACATATAGTTTTATGCATTTAAATGACCTTACCTCTCTTACAGATAGCTGTGGTGGAAAGGAGACTGAAAATACCAAGCTGGTAAATTCAAACCCAGAGGCCTCAACTTTTTGGCACACCTAAAAAAGTATTACATAAAAGCATTTTTTATTACATAAAACAGCATTTATATATATAAATTCTCATGCATTGCTGAAAATTTTACTTATTTATTTATTTTTAAATTTATTTATTTAATTTATTTATTTGACAGAGTGAGACACAGCAAGAAACGGAAAACAATCAGGGAGAATCAGAGAAGGAGAAGCAGGCTTTCCGCTGAGCAGGGAGCCCAATGCGGCTCGATCCCAGGACCCTGGGATCATGACCTGAGCTGAAGGCAGACACTTAACCATCTGAGCCACCCAGGCGCCCCTGAAAATTTTACACTAATCTTCATAACATGGGTTTTTGGTCCAGGAGATGGCACTACACTTCTAAACTTTCACCTCTGGGAATTCTCATAAGCATCCCAAAAGCAAGCATTTGCTAACTAAGACCCTGAAGACTGATATCACGAGATGCCAACACAGCCAGGACTCACTTGCAGAACAATCTGTTGAATGTCAAAATAATTTTCTCTTAGATCACCTCATAGCTTAAGATTTTTAAACAAAATAAAGCCAAATTTGGCACTCTTGACAGCTGGAAACAAAAGGCAATCCCACATTCAATCATGTATCTTCCATAAAACTGTAACACTTGTCTTTTCAAGACACTAAAAGGTATGACTAAGAGCTTTTCTCTAACTCCTTAGTTAGCTATGTTAAACAGCAGAGGGAAAAACCACTATATTTTTCTTCATTTGAGTAGCATTCATGACTGAAATACATGGACACCTACTTCATTAATTTTCAGTTATCTTGTTAATAAAAAAGTAATTTGAGAATAGTAGGCTTGTTTATTTT